TTTTGCTGGAGAAATATCTGGGTGCAAAATGACCATCGCCGTTGGCGTGCGCTAAAACCCCGATCATCAGCCCGCGATTTCGCTCAAGGGGCCATTAATTCATTTCTGACCAATGAAGCACAAACACCACATTTCAGACCAATTCCAACATAAGCCCGCCTTCGCATTCGGCGTACCTAATGCACGACTGCACGGGTTGGGTGCGCCGATCCGAGTATGCAGATATAATGCGTCACGGCCGGGTTGGTTCAGATTATGGAAGCAGAGGCCCGAGGGGAGGGGGCCGATTGGTGCTTGTTTGATGACAGCCATGCATTATTCATGGCATATGGCTGAAACCGGAGACCACCGATCGTTGAGAAGAAGAGTACATCTTAGAAAGAAAGCGGGGTAAAAGAGAGGTAAAAGAGGGGTAGGGGTCTTACGCCAGCACGTATGCAAGATTAAGAAGCCTTTGTGCATAGGTCTTCCAGCATAGGTGTTTATAGCAGGTCTTCAGGGCAGTAGGTCTTACAAGTGCAAATCTTGAGTGGAAATCTTCCTGAGCATAGGCGTTGGGGAGTAGGTGTTCCAGGGGTAACTCTTCAAGCATAAGTATTCAGAGCAGAAGGTCATCTGGGAATCGGTCTTCCCATCCCCCACTGACTGCATTCCGCATACCAAAAACATAGCACATTGACTTGCCTACCACAATCAATCGAGGTGACATCATCCAGCTACAGCACACAGAAACTTACCTGTCATTCATTCTGAGCAGACATGGAGTCAGCACACATTCCCAGTGACTCTGCAACCGGTTCTCTAATCTTTTGCACTCACTTAGAATTTCCTTCCTTCTTGTGGCATGAGGCTCCTCCGTGTATGACCATTCAAAGTCTTCACGTGATACCCTCTGTCCCATTGTGCTGATGACCTGGAAGGCATTAACAAGGCTTAAGTTATTGAAAAATAACAGTGTGTGCATCACCAAAAGAAATGGACAGACAAATTCAATAAGAAATGCCAGTCTGGAGATAACACTAGCATAACATTGGGCCATTGCTGAGCATTGACAATGGCTTCAATCCAATGAACATATATCTAAAATATCTCACATCACAGACATATGGGTAAACATGTCATATTACAACTGTTGTGTTTTGACATCACAATCATAAAATTTACTAGGCAATTTGCAGCAGGCAACATGGTGCTGTCCATGGCCCTAAACATTCATGTCAAGCAGTCACAAATAGAAATAAAAATACCAGGATAGACCACATCTTGCTAAGCAAAGGAAGCTTGAACATGGTGTAACTTTCCTGTTTCATCCACTATATATATATATATATATATATACATACATATATATATATATATAAACACAATTAGCATTCAAAACCCAAACATCCTTTTCAGAATTTCAAAAGGTATGCAAGCCTTTTCACCCAAAAGGCTTGGATAATTCTTCATCAAAACCAATTATACTTCATCAGTTTAACTTTCTTCATTGGCGAGCTGCCAATAAAATAATTGAAATACGATGACATCAAATCAGATGTGAAATAAACCATGTTGTTGCCTACAAAGTAAATGCAAACATCAATTTATCCAATTACCACACACAATTTATCCTTAACTCACTGACAAGCAGATGTTGTTGCTAACTAACAAAATAACACTGTTGCGGGATACCACCTAACCGTGACACCCCCCGCCCCTCTCACCCACCAGCACTCCACAGTACTTTTTGGACCAATGCACACTGAAGGTAGTCCAATATTTATTCAAACCACATTCAATTACAAAACCGAAATAATACAATTATTGCACTTGCGGAACCCTTTGCATATGCCAATCCCTCCCCGCCCCTCACCGTGCGGCCGACAACGCTCTGCGGGGAAAGGCCGCGAGCTCAGGCAGGCTTGGGCAAGGCTTGGGTATAAAATGAGTAGGACAAGTGTAATGAGAACTGACTAATCAGCTGACGATGACGTCATTACCAGGGCCCACTGCACCAATTGCTGTGAAACCCGAACTATTGCATTTATCATATCTGGTTTCCACTTTTGGCTGAAAATTCGGCGACCCTAGGTCAACTCAAAAGTCATAAAATTCTGCAAATTTTTCCTTCCGTCCGTCCAGTTGGCTCAGTTGGCTGGAGCGCTAGATGGCCTACCTCCCGGTCCAGCCATCCGAGGCGGGATGGGTTACTTTGCGTTAAATTGCAAGCTCTGCCCCGCGCACATATATTTTTTCGTACATGCGTATCCTAGCAACCCTTGTCAGCTGTGTTAGAAATAGCGCTGACCGAAATGGCCCAGCTATTGATGTTCTGGCACAATATTTTATCTTGCCAAATACCAGAGGTGGAGATAAATATATTTATAATATAATTTTGCATACACATTTATATTTGCTATAGCTCAATAACTAGCTCACAAGAACAACGAGAAGCAAGTTTTTGGAGCAGGAAAGCTGAGGCCACTAAAACTTGCATTGTTGGGCACACATTGAATGAAAGCGATAGAAACGCAGCGAAACTTCCCAAATATTTTGTGTTTGCGTCTTTCTATCACTGCCATGCATTCTTTTTTGTAAGTAGTTCGGACGTCAACAGAGCCGTCCAATGGTCATAAGATCGCCACGTGGTCCAGGGGCTTAAGATCGCATTTCGTTGAGGGCCTCGATTTCCCGGGCCGCGGACAAATCCCAGCTGAGCGAACGGTCTTACAACCCGCCCCTTCTCTTTCTCCCACCACCACCTTACTCTGCCGTAAAGACGTGTATCCCTACAAAATAGCACGTTATACTGATGAAAATCCCGCGGATTGCAGGTCTCCGTGAGGAATTTTGGACGATGCAATATATTCGATCTCATTTCCAATTTCTGAATCCCTTTTGCCACTCAGTCCTCAGATACCAAAGGAAAGCATAAAGGCATAGGAACCGAAATGTACTCATAAATGTAACTAAGGCACCCACATAAGGAGAGAATGGGCATGTAATGTAACAATGGAGGGAACGGGCATTTATACCCAGAACTAGACTCAGTCGCGTTCATTTAGTACATTCAAATCTCATGATGTTTACCGCACCCCAGGCCAATCAGTCCTGTGTTCAATGCTTTCCTCAACAAAGTCGGCAAAACTAGAGCTCTGACGAGAATCCATAACCATTAAAAATTATTAGTCATTGCAAACGTTCCTGTATATCCGTTCTGAAAGCAACGGGATTTAAAGCATGTTAATTATACAGATGCCTACATTGCTAGTTTATTCCATGTCGTAACTTGTATGGAGAACGGCGTAGAACCGGAACCCCAGATGATCCCACGAGAAAACCCAATGCACGGGATACGAATTGGAGCAGACAGGTCTCGCACTACGTCAACTGACACCTCCTATCATTTCTTGAAATCCCGTCTGCTGTACTCTTTTAATGGCTGTTCGAGACTGTCTCTGCGAAGGTCCACACGAGTCGGCGGTCGGAACTAGACTATTTGTTTTACTCCGCGAGGCGCTCTGCCATCTACCGTTCGGTCTAGATACTACTACTCGCGCACTATACTCGGTACTCATATAATGGCATAGCCTTGAAACGAGATGGTGCAAAGCACCGGACGTCATTGCCTTCTTATGGCAATGGCATAGTGGTCCTCGTACAATAATCCCGGCTAAACACTCGACGACGTGTTTTGTGGACGGTGATATGAACGGGCTCATCAGCTTCATGTCATGTCATGTCATGTCATGCAAGTGTATTCAGATCGATAGAACACACCTTAGCAGACACGAAACGACGACAGTTTGGATGCATTCCGCCCAAACCAGACATAACACATTCCGTCCAAAGGGCTTCTCACAGACACAATAAAACAACACTCACAGGCTATCCAAGCGATTTATGCGGCCAAAAAGGAGACTGCACCAAGCACAGCGTACAGTTTCCCGTCCGCAGGCGAACACATGGTCGTCATAAACCACCAAATACAACACATCATCGTCACATATCATCGTATCAAGTCACCCCTGCTTCTATAGCCACAACGAAAACAAAGACTGGGCAACATTAAATCGGACTCCTTTCCAGCCCTACGCACAGCAGCAGCCGAGCCGAGCCGGCACCCAGTGCAGGCATGCAGGAAGCGGCTGGGTGCCCCAAGACAAACATTGTAAGTTCCAATGCGCACCACCTTTATCCTTCAATGCATGCACACACCAGATATCTTGCACACATCCCCAAGCACATTTATCCTTAAATGTGTGCCACCACTTTAAACTCTGTATTTGGAACGACTAGAAAGACCTCAGATAGTAAAGCCCGACTAACCCTCAGCTTGTAGCCATAGGCATTTACTGAGAGGCCAGAATGTTTCCATGACAAGACATCTGATGAACATGCAATGCAAATGTGCACATGAAAATGCAATACAAAAATGATCATAACACTGAACTGAGAGAAAACAGTCTGCATAAGAACATTTCTATGGTTTGTTGATTGTTTAGCTACCCAACTTTCCGTTCCATGACCTCAACTTGACATGTTCCGCGACCCAGCGCTCAATTTTGCTCGACGTAGTCCTGCGTACTGTGCGGGGCACCAGTCATGAATGCCGACAGCGCCCTGTCCCATGTCGGGTCATGCTTAGGGTGATCGTCCAGATCTTGAAGAATGGACTGCTGCATCTCGCCTAGGAGATCCGACATGGTGTTGCGCGCACCGGCCCTTTGGTTAGCTACAGGCGGTGTAAGGCGGTCAGGTACAGTCTAACCTGGGATATAGAAACGCGTATTCAATACGTCGCTTGTGCGCCGGAAATGTGGTGAAATATGACGAACCAATGCCGCCACTTTTAGTACAATGGTTACTACAAATACTTCCCCCTTAACAAGATCCGTACTAAATATTCTCGAGGACGTGTTTATAACGAATACCATTGCACCGTTTTTTGTTTACGTCAATGGAAGTTTGCCTCTAACTCGTCACTATTTATGCATTCAGACGGGTCACCTGGAATTAACGCAAATCCGGGCACGTCCTCAGGACTCGTCTCTCTCCGGGCGCCTAGCCCGGCATTCAGCTCTCAAGGGCCACAAATTTTAAGAGCAATTCAGGGCTCATTGTGTTGAGTTTTATTTTCACATCACTCACCTTGAAATTGGGGGCTGAAACATCTGGGTTGTTCTCATTCTGATTAATATTTATGCGAGGTTGCAATTTCTACAAGGCTTAGGTGTCGTAGTGAAGAGATTATAAGAAGCTGAGCCCTACTCAAAATGCTTGAAGAAGCTATTGCTAACATCCGTGCTGCTATTGAGGCAGGAAGAACAGATATCCTGCGAACTTTGATTGAGGCCTGTGAACAATGTAAGCTGCACTCATGACTGGGAATGTAGCTTCCTATTCAGTTGTGGGGGGAAGGGGGAGACTTCATCTCCACAAATTGGCCTCCAGTTCCTCCCAGATCTTTGAAGAAAGTGGTCCAAATCTGGAAAAACTTTATGTTGGCATATTTTGGGGACATGTTGGGTCATATTTCACAGGTAACCCCCATCTCATTTTGTCAAACCACACTCCTGTTTATCACCAGTGTATGCATATCAGTACCCATAAACAACCTGACCATGTACAAGTGGCTGTTTACAGGCATAGATACTGATATACAGGTAGTTAAGCAGGCTGCGCAACATTGATTGCTGTATGTACAAGAGATGGTATAGCATGTATTGTTTCATATTTTTCATTTTTTGGGGTTATCATGTTTGGGCATTTCTAACATACTGTCGGGCAGTTATTTGTTGACGGATTGCCGTAGCCTGTTCTTCAGTAACCTGTCTTCTGTAACTATTGGTTTAATGTCCTCCTACTTGAAGATGGTAACATAGTGAAGGCAATACAAAATCAGGATTGCAAGTCATCTGTCAGTTTGGCTATTCCTAAGCATGTGTTTTTTAATGTGTTTGATGTGCTAGATGATATGCATGCCCTCTTTTTTGTCCAACAAATGTCAGACAAGTTGAATGTTTGCCTTGATAGAAATTCTGCACATACAAGAAGAACCTGCATGTAACAGATTGGTGGTGCCACAGGGGTGCAGCCAGAGCCTTGGCAAGGGGGCACAGGATTGTTAAAGGGCCCCCTAATAGTAAAAGGGCCCCCAAATCTGCTGCATGCAACCCATTTGGTATTGAGGGCATCTATGAATATATATATATATATATATATATATATATATATATATATATATACATGTATGCTAATATATTTATATAAATATGTTGGAAAATATGGGCAGAATCCTTTGCTTTATGCATGCTCAATAGAAAAGTAAGTGCTAATTCAGCATTGGCAAGTCTGGTACAGTTTAATATTTTGAGATCTTATCTCATTGTCAGAGGTCTCATTGTGGGAGAAGACTAAATGGCACCAGAAATAAGTTTTGAGCTTTAAAGGATACAAATTCTGCACTCTTGGAAAACATCTTTTGGTATCAAGAACACAAATGAAGCATGGCCAATTGAAGTAAGACATAATCCTATTTTCACTTTGATACATATAAAATACACTCACAATGGGAACAGTACAAGACACAATGAAAACACTATTGCAACAATCACATCAATAGTGCTCACCATGCACCAACTTATAGCTCAAGAGTTGTACAAGAATTTGTTTGTTAAGGGCTTGGGAGAGTTTGTTGATTAATATATTCTCCCAAATTTGAAGGCATCCTTTATCATTGCCCATCTGTAAAATGTCGGTGTGGTCCATCAGTTGTTGTCGTGTCCCATCCCATTCTCAATCAAGAAGTGAAGGGCCATTCAGTCCCACCGCGGTGTGTTTTCGGGTCGTCATCAACATGGGGCGATATGCCCTGGCCGATGCGAAGCCCCTTGGAGGGATATATCATGTTTCGTTGGTCCGGTCCCTGAAGCAGGAGACCTTCTGGCCCGCGTAGTTGACCCGGGATTGACGCGTGAGGCGTCATTAACGCAACAACATCCTCGCTCACGCAGGTGGTCAAATAATTGGCACATAAATTCCAGTTGAGCTTAATGGGCCCATGCTGGAAAAGGGATGGAGGGCCCACCATTCGGCACTGGGGGCCCTGACCGGCAAAGGACTCTTCTATTAACTCAGTGTGAGCACTCATCACAGATTCTTGTGTCCTTCAGTTGTCAGAGGGCCTGGACCAACGCAAGAGACCCTTTGCCATTCAGTCTCTCGTCCCCATCCCTGTTGAACAGATCTTTCCCTGACCAATTCGAGGCCCCGTATTGACACAGAATGCCCTGTTAGGCACTGTGGGACCCTGAACGACACAATAGGTCTTCCAATGTAAATTGCGGGCCCGGCCTGGTCCCTGCTTGGGAAATTGGCCCCCAGAGCTCAGACCAACACGTGGCCGACTGTTCGTTGCTCGTGATCTTTAGCCGAAAAAGAGGAACGTTTTTTCTCAGGGGTCCCTATCAAGAGATCATCTTACTGACGTTTGAGATCACGGCCCTATGGGCGGGGATTCCTAATGTAGCCTACAGCCAGCCCTTCGGACTTTTCATCCATCCCATCGGGCCCTCGATCTTTGGTCTCGATATCCCATTGAAGGGCCCGAAGGGGCCCTCAAACACCGCTCCGACTCGGGGCCACTTGCCGCCACAGGACCCCTGTTCGGAACTGTGGCTCCCAACCGACACATCACTGTCAGGGACCTAACCTCATTGTGTCCGGGACCCCAAATATTGCAAATCGCGGGTCCCGGCCTCGTCTCCGTTTGGGAAATAGGTCCTAAGGGCTCAGACGGACATGGAGCCGCCTTTTCAATGTTCGTGGTCTCTGACCAACTTAACCTGCATTGTCTCAGGGGTTCCTGAAACGATGCAAGAGGACCTCTGGCTGATATGTCAGGTCACGACCCTACGGTTTGCGATTCTTTATGTGACATGCAACTGGTCCTTCGAGCCCTTATGCTCTTCAACCGGGCCTTTGATAGTCGGTTCCGGATGCTCTTCAACCGGGCCTTTGATAGTCGGTTCCGGTGTGCCGCCCGGACCCCTCTTCGGGCTTCATCAAACACTAACCTTGGTTGGCCCTGTTCCCTTGCGAGCACAGGACCCTCTGTTAGGCACTGTGGAGCCCCTGACAGATACAAGCCCCCCGACCTGAGTAAATCACTGGCTCCGGGTTTATAGCGGATTGGGAAGTGAGTCCTCAGGCCCATTCCGACACGGAGCGGACTATGTGGTACGGTGGTACCTGACCGACATATAGGCCCATGTCGACTCAGGGCGTCCCCGATCTGCGCCCGTTGTTTGAGGGTCCGTCTTCGCAGGTCTGGGTTCCTGAAGAAGACTCCGACCAGCCCTTTATGCCCTTAAACCCTTGAATCGGACCCTGACCGTCAAACCGGGCCCGAGCAACATGGCCTTTAACGGACTCGAGGCACCTTGACAACACAGAGCCCCTGTGAGGCACTTTGGGCCCCGAACAATGTAAATCGTTGGCTCCGGCTTTGTCCCTGCTTGGGAAATGGGCGCTTAGGCGCGTGCCGCCACAGAGCCGACTGTGCGTTACTGGTGGCGGCTGACCGAAATGTAGGCCCTTATTAACTCAGTGGGCCCCTGATCAGCGCGCAGAGCCCTCTGGCTGGCATTTAAGTGCCTGGCCGGCCCCGTGAGCCGGGGCCCTGAATGAGGCCTCTCGCTGGTTTTTTGAGCCCTTTATCGTAGGTTCCGAGAGGTTGAAGGGCCCCTCGGGGAGGACCTACGAAAGGGAGGGAGCACGTGCCCCTGTGCCCTCCCCTGCCCGCACTTCTGGTATCACATTGGTTGTTCTCTTGTTAAAGTTACTGAATTGGCTGTTTTGTGGTTTGAATCAGCTGTTTCCATCACATCTTTCAAACATCATTTCCATCCTTTGATATTCATCCACCTATCAGATCATCTTTAAATGAGGTCTGATGAGTAAGAAAGCGAGTATCATAATACATGGACAAAAACAATTATGCCTTTTAAATTTGAGCATATATCAAATTATTGCTAGCAATTTGCAAAGCTTGATTTACAGATATTGCTTCTTTGAAAAGTAAGAGGGTGGGGGGGGGGGGGGGGGTAAGCAGAGAGCAGAGGACTATGCGGCAACCAGCTGTGCACTGACTTAAATCTACAGTTATATAAATAATGATTCAGAGTAACCAGATTGTGAAAATGATGCTTTGTCTAACAAATTTGTTCTGAAGGAAAATGTTTTCAGACCAAGGCCATGTTCTTCAGGTTTGTGTGAGCCTCCGCAGTATTTGTGGTGAATAGGCTCAAAAGTTGAGATCCAAGAGGGAAATGTTAGGATTAAAAAGGGGATTAAAACGGACATATTTCTTTCAGCTATCTTAAACAATTAAGGCTACCAAGCTTGATTTGTGAGGTAACGGCAGTGAGGTGGTTATGTCATGTCCCCGGGAAACCAGAGGTGCAGGGCTCGATGCCCACGGTGTCTACCGTTTCCACCAGGGTGAGAGGCGGCGACGCCATATAGGTTCAGCAGATGAGTGCGTCGTGAAGGCCCAGTGGCGCGCGAGCTTGATACGCTGTCAGCTGATCGTGGGCCAACTGTCCCGCCGTGTTGTGACGTCAACGAGCGGGAGAGTCCCGCCACAGCAGACCTCACCCCTAACTCATCCGCTGACGGCGAGCTCGCCTCGGCAGGCGAGCAGGCCGACGCCGAGCACGTGACCAAGGACCGCGTGCTGTCCGGCCTGTGGACGCCGGAGGGCACGCTGCTGCACATGGCCACGCGGCTGGGCCGGCCGGACGTGGTGCGCGCGCTGCTGTATGCCGGCGCCGACCCGGGCGTGCAGAACGCCGACGGCGACACAGCCGTCCACCTCAGCGCCTCTGACACCATGCGCAGCGTGTACACCGACGAGCTGTTCAAGGCCACCGCCCAGTCCAAGTGAGGGACGGGAGCGAAAGGGCCTGAGGGAAGAGCTGGTTAGGAGAGGGGTTTCTCCGCTCAGTGAACGTGAGGGACGGGCACTGGGGGGGGGGGGGGGGGCATGCCGCCACGAAGTCCAGGTGAAGGATGGACGAGTGGGGGGGGGGGGGGGGGCACGGTCTAGGTGAGGAATGGACAGAGAGTGGATTGATAATCTCAAACTCGCCATTCCCACTGTGGGGTGACCTCGTATCTCACCCAACAGTGAGAGCTGCATGTGACACCGGGTCTTCCTCTGCCAGAAGCCAAGGTGCCTTGTGTGACCCCATGTCTCCGTCAACCCACAGTGGGTGCTGATCTCATGTGCCCCTTTACTGGCATTAGTACCATGTGTTATCTCGTGTTTCCATCTACCGGTAGTAGGTGCCGTTTGTGACCTTGTATTGCCCTGTACTGGCACCCTGTACTGGCAGGTGCTGTGTGTGACCTCGCGTCTCGCCTCCCGCCAGTGAGGGCCGTGTGTGCCAGCTGCTGGCCGCCGGTCTGGGCATTAACGCCTGGGACAGCCCTCTCAGTCGCAACACGCCGCTGCACTGGGCGGCCAATTTCGCCGACCGCGACATGATCACCTGCCTGGCAGGTCAGTCCGAGCCGCCGGTGGCGCCGCCTACCGGCTCGCGGTGTGCAGCCCGCTTTCGCCCCGAGGAGGCACCACCATACGCTACCTCCTCGGCAGTGGGCGGCGAGCCAAGAGCCGTAGCAGTGCGGACTCTGTTCATTTGGAGCTCCCTCTGCCTTATCCTTACTTGCCTTCATCGGAAGCGATGGGGCGAGAGACACAGCTTCCATCGATGTGCTGGGCACCAGCTGTGGTGGAAAACAACATGAAACATAACGTTTGGTGAGTTAATCGTAGCGTGGCACCAGCTCAGTGATAAATGCATATGTTTTTCCGTTCTTAAACCGTTTATTTATAATCCACACTGAAGTTTCAGTCACTCTTGAATGAAGGTCGTTCGAGTTCTGCGGAAGTGGGACGAACCAGTGCCCAGGATTTACACGCTGTGCTTAGTCACCATTGTCCGGTTGCTGTCTGCCTCCAGGAGGCGAAGCCTGCGCCGGATTCTCACCACACCATGAAAGGCTACTCAATATTTAGAACAAAATGTGCTGGCAAACACTGTGGCGCACGGTGGTGTACTGTTGGCAGAGCGTCAGTGTGCCTGAGCAACAGAGATCGCCTCGTAGCCCTTTGCTCAGTGTATTTGCCATCTAGGCTCAGCTTTCCATTGATGCAGCTCAGGCAGTTGATCGCAGAGTTCCCTCCGCCTTTGATTATCTTGGGGCTCGGGCAATTGGTGGCAGGGCACCCTCCGTCTTTGGTTTTCTTGGGACTCAGACAGTTGATGGCAGAGCTCCCTCCTCCTTTGGTTATCTTGGGAGATTATAACGCACACTATACCGTTTGGGGTTGTGATGACAGCAGCGCGCGGGGGCGTACTGTAGAACAATTTATTCACGAGGAGTCGCTCCGTGTTTTGAATACGGGATCTCGGACGCATTTTACGTTACCGCCAGGTCAGACGTCGGTTTTGGACCCAAGCCTGGTGAGTCCGCAGCTCGCGCAGCTTTTTACTATATACCTATACTAGACTATAGCCGACGACCCTATGGGAAGCGACCACTTCCCAGTGTGGTTGGAGTACTGTGACGGAGCGGTCCGCAGCCCTCGACCACGACGGTGGAATCTTAAAAAAAGCAGACTGGAGTGAGTCTCAGCTAGAGATGAACTTTGGTGCACAGGCCGTGGATGGTGCAAACTACTCGATCGAATACGTCATATCCGCGTTTTTTTACGCGCAGCGAACGCAAGCATTCCAAAGACATCTGGGGCTCCTCGTCGCACCCCGGTAGCGTGGTGGACCGACGAGTGCCGAGCTGTTATCCGGGCACGTAGGCGGGCCTTTCGGGTCTTTGACCGCCACGCCACAACCGATAATTTAGTCGCATTTAGGAAGGCGAGAGCTTTGGCCCGGCGCACCATCCGGTAGGTGAAGCGCGTCTTCTGGCAAGAGTACGTGGAGCGTCTAAATCGTTTCACTTCTGTGTCGCTAGTAAGGTCACAAATTAAACGTGTCTCTGGCCAGTCTTCCGCGGTTCCTCCACCGGTTCTTGACGTTGGTGGCGGGACATTTTACATCCCTGGTGACGTCGCCAACGAGATCGGTCGTGCGCTTGCGGAATATTTTGGAGACGGTGACGTTGATCCCCAGTTCCCGCGTCAAAAGGCGCATTGTGAGGCCAGTCCAGTGGACGTTTCCACCTCTGTGCAGCTTGCCTACAACGAACCATTTACAATGGTGGAACTAAGGGCTGCTGTTGGCAGGCTTTGGTGTGTATCAGAGGATCCTGACGAGATAGATAACGATATGATCCGACATCTACCCATCTGCGTACTTGACGGTCTTTTGGCCATTTTTATTCGTTTTTGAGAATGAAGCGAATTTCCGAACCTTCGGCGAGAACCTGTTGTGGTGGCCTTTTAAAGCCAGGTAAGAGCGGCAAAGATCCGCTTCACTTCAGGCCCATCTCACTTATATCTTCACTGTGGAAGCTAATGGAGAGGCTCGTCAGTGGTCGTTTCTCTTGGTCTTTAGAGAAACATACCATTTTTACATTTCTCAGTGTGGTTTTAGGAAACACCGTAGCATCTTACACTTACAAACTACAAAGTGCCTCACGAAGACCATATAAAGGATTTGTGAGCCAAATGTTTTCAAACCCTGAGTGTCCTGAAGTGCATCACGTGCACATCATATCGTGCGTACAGGGAAGCGCTCTTGCTCTTCCGTCACTTTCATATCAGATCCAAGCTTGACTATGCTTCTTTTGTTTATAAGGGGGCTTGTCAGTCAGTAGAGCGCTCCTTGAACACGATACATCACACTGCCTCACGGATCACGGCAGGCGCATTTGGGACCTCTCCGACAGCGGGCCTCGATGTCAAGGCCCACGAGCCCCATTTGCCCACTGGGAGAAAGATACTGGGCATGAGATACGCCTGTAAGTTGGCACAGTTCTCCGATCGCCCAACATACCAATGGGTCTTTCGCGCAGAACAATACGCATGCTTTCTGACTGGGAGAGGACATCAGATCGCACCTTTTTGTGTGAGGATGTTCATACTTTTGCGGGGATGTGCCATTCGCACACGGCATGTGATTCCTTGGGATATTGCTGAGACCCTCCGTGGACACTGTGAAGCTCTACCCGACCAGCGGCGGATGTCTCGCTTTCTCGTTTCGAGAAGAGGCAGGTGTCCCGGGACGAGTTTCGACTGAGGTCGTTGGAGTTGGTCGCGTCATACCCCGAATCACAAGACCTACACGGACGGTTCGAAAGCGGATGCCGGTGTTGGATGTGCTCTTGTGCAGGTTCCTGTCACACGGTATTTTGCTTTGCATGGTCACGCATCGATCTTCACGTCCGACCTAAAAGCCATTCTTAAAAGCACATCATTTCATAGAAATTTACAGTGACGATCAACACGTAGTTTTATCGGACTCTGTTAGTAGCCTCATGACACTGCAGGATTTGGATTCATCACATCCCATTGTTCAGAACGTTTTAACTCTTCTTACTACACTGTCGCGAATCCGGGAAGCAGGTGGTATTCTGCTGGATACCGAGCCACGTTGGCATATCGGGTAATGAAGTAGCTGATGCCGTGGCGAGGCGTGACACACGCATTTGACATCCCTACTTTGACAGTCCCTGCTAACGACCTTATATGCAGTGTTACCTGTACACATGTTGAAGCAGTGGCAGGCGAATTGGGATGCGCATGCTGCCAATAAACTGAGGGAGTTGGGAGCCCCGTTGGGACCATGGGCGTCCAGCTGTCGTATGGTGAGGCGGGATGAAGCGACGCTATGTCGCCTGGGAAAAGGACACACGTACGCAACTCGCCATTACTTGTTATGTGGGGAAGACCAACCACGATGCCCTCGCTGCGGGGATCGTTACACCGTACATGTCTTGATAGATTATTCCCACCTGTCCTCGGAACGGATGCACCATTTTGGATCAGGGTCAGTGCGCCAAACACTCTGTGGTATGTTGGGAGACGATTCCACTTTGTGAAATGACGGCCACATTTTTAGTTGTCGTGAAGACATACAACTGCACGCCATATATCAGACGTAACCTTATCTCCTCGCTCTGTTCAAGCATCTGTTAGATCAAAAGGGAGTTATGGGCGCCATATGACCAACGTAGTCGGTGCGCCCCAAAGCCCACATCACCGTCATCGAGGCTCGTGACACCTCCGTGGCATCACCATCACTGCTGCGCGACATCTAATGTCCAGACACGGTGGTGTCGCTGCAGGGCCTGGCGCGCAGCACCGCTGCTGCCGACCGGCCGCAGCGGCTCGGCGCGCCGCCGTGTTTTGCGGTGGTCCGCCGCTGAGCTCGCGGACCCGGAGCCCGTGGCGTGCGGCACGTGGCACGGCTGGCGCCTCCCTCCGGAGCCATGACCGTGGTACCACCAGTCCATAGTAATCCCACGGACTGGAGAAAGAAGACTGCTGGTAATCCCATGGGCTGATCATCGCCAGTCCATTGTAATGCCACGGACAGATGATGGTGCCGCATTGGGTCCCGGCTGCAGTGCCCGGTGAAACAAAAGTCGAGGGCCGGGTCTGGACCTGGGCCGGCTCTGGGCCTGGGCCGGGTCTGGACCTGGACGGGGCGCCATTCGTTTTGTAGCCTCCTTGAAGGTGGGCGGCTGCTGATCTTCGGCGGCTAGCTGCCTGGGATGTTGGCTGGCGGCCGCCACGTAGGTGGGCGGAAGGTCGTCTCCCGATCCTGGTGCCAGCGACCCCCCTGCGAGGGGCGGCGTCCGCTCTTGTCGTGGCCTCTGCGCAGGGTGCTCTCACACAATGCTAGCCGGAGCCAGTTGTCCCCTGTTCGGGTGATATGACCATTCGTGGAATGCTGGAGACGGCGCGGGCGGCACGGGCGCCGACCCAAGCGCTGCCGATTCGCGTTTAGCACACTGCCAGGCATAGAACCAAATCCACAACGCAACGAATAGGCACGCCAAAAAGACCGCGGCCGTGTTGAGTTCGTTGGCGATGGTCACGGTGAGCTGCTCAACGGTGTCTAAGATGTCTGCCTCGCACGGATAGACTCTGGCTAATTCGCCCACCAGCACTCTTCGACTGTCACGTGCTGACACTTGCGCTGCTCACACCTGTGGTCAGGCGGGTTCACTCCATTTGCAGCGCACACTGCCACGTATTCGTGGAATGGACCAACATCGCACTGGCCGTCAGGTTCTATAGGATTGACCCACCGGCACAGACTGCTTCGATGCCACGAAGTGGCAGAACGGCGCGCTTGCACGACTCCGGTCGTTGCCACCTACCGGCACACCAAGGCACTTGCGCTTCGAGGTACTGCCGCCACCACCGCCCGGCACAAGCAGTGTCTAACCGCCTTGAATTCGACAGTTGCCACGGCTCTGGAGATGTACAATCGGATATGTTTGACTTCCCCTTTCCGACATTTTTGTAGAAATGCAATGTATAGGGTTAAAATCTCCTTTCATGTAGATTATTTTTTATTGCCCCCGAGC